CACACACACACACACACACACACACACACACACACACACACACACACACACACACACACACACACACACACACACACACACACACACACACACACACACACACACACACACACACACACACACACACACACACACACACACACACACACACACACACACACACACACACACACACACACACACACACACACACACACACACACACACACACACACACACACACACACACACACACACACACACACACACACACACACACACACACACACACACACACACACACACACACACACACACACACACACACACACACACACACACACACACACACACACACACACACACACACACACACACACACACACACACACACACACACACACACACACACACACACACACACACACACACACACACACACACACACACACACACACACACACACACACACAGACAACCAGACATCATCGCGAAAATAGTCAAAACGGATTCAGGGGACCTCAAAACGTAAAAATCCGTCGAAAACTCGAGGTCGAAAAAAATCATGATTCATATACTTTCCTTATATCTGTATACATATAGGAAAGTAAAAAGGCGTACAAACCATGCCCTTTTGAAGAACATGCGCTATAAAAACATTAAAATGGCATTTTTACATTGCACAATGTCATTTTAATCTTCATTAAGTAATTTAATGGAATTGCACAACTCAGTCTTTGCTAATTCTGTTGAAAGTACCGTACGTTTACCGTACTTTTTATGTAAATACCGTACTTTTATGTACGGTAATGACTTTGGACCGTATACCCCACGGGGGTCGGATTCCATGTAAATAGTTGGCAACAAGTTTGCTTGACCTCGACAGTAGCGCGCTAAGCGCTTACGGTTGAACTACACCTGTCAGTTTCAGTCGATAAAGTAGAACACTACTAATTAAAGCGATTTAAAAATTGGCGGGCTTGATAATTTAGATATTTGAAACAATTTGAAGTAACATTTTTCTATTTGACAACTTTTACTTACAATTACTAAACAAACAATAAGTTTAGTGAATTTTTGTTGTAGGTAAATGTTGAAAAATGGAAAATGTCACTTGTTTTAACTGAAAAATAAAATTAGTTGAAAACTAAAACACATTTTTAACAAGTTTAATTTATTTAGAAATTACCATGTAATTACATGTGTCTCATTATCTTCTAACTGCATATTTTGAACATAACAAGCACTATATCACACACTAAATTACTGAAAAATAAAAATATAATGATAACCAGCATAGCACATGACAATATTTTTATTATTAAAAAAACCGGATATAGTTTTTATAAAAAGTCAAAGTAGTTAATTTATTAACACAATTGTTTTAATGTTTTAAATATCCCTTATTAATGCAAGGACAAATCATTCTAATTCTAATATTCTTATACTTATTGTCCCTTTAAGGCCTTTTCCCATCTATTTCAACCTAGAATAGTTGTAATGCCTATTTCGGGTACAATAAGCCTCCAGCTTCAATACAGGTGGGCTTTGAAACTCACCCTAATTAAGAAACACATTCCAAAAATCTCCATACCCAGGAATATCTAAAACAAAACAAAAATAAAGGTGCAGTGTGTATCTTAAAATTAAAAATTAACATGAGTCATAACTTTTTTAAAATCTTACATTTTTCTTGCAATAAAAGGTATAAAAATTTCAATAAAAATAGAAAACATCTGATTTATGATCTTAATAGGTGAACTATGCAAAAATTTGTTGACCTAAGTAGCATATAAGTTTTTGAACATGGGTATTATTTGAAAAATATAATAATGAATATCACCCAAAAATTGAACAATGACTTTTTGAGCACAAATCATTCGCCTTTTTTCATCGAGGTCTTTATGTGTAAAACTAGGATGAGGTTCTATCTCGGGTTCTACAATATTTGTTTGTAAATTGGCTTCACACATTTCGCTCACAACTCCTTTAATTTTTTTGACCACAAATGTTTAAAATGTGGATCCATTTATCTCTAAAGAGTAATAATAGCAATAAAAACATAAAATTTCTTGTTAGTTTTGTGAGAAAAATACTTACTTCTGCAATTAAAATTTAAATGAATCAGAAGTTAATGATTTTGTTAAGAACCTCCCTATATAGTTAAATCTAACTTACACTTAATTAATACAATTTACTCACCTACATTTGAAAAAATATCACCTGCATTTGAAATTGAAAAAATCATCAGGCTGACATATTTATAGCAACATAACCTATTTATTTCCAAAGCTTACACCATCTAATAATATTTAAATTTAGCTTTAACTTTAAATTTATTAACGATTAACCCTGTATTTGATCACACATTATATTAAAGTGAAATTTAAAGGGGTAAATCAGTAAAATTATTGATTCCTTTATCATTATTTTTGAAAACATATTTTTTTATGGGTGTAAAACGGGTTTGAATTTAGTGATAGCAGCGCGCTAAGCGCTTACGGTTCAACTACCAACAAGGAAACACCATTTAATCAAACCTTCTCTTTTTATTTTTCTATGGTATACCCCAATGGGGTCTATTCTGTAACAATTCCTTTATATTTTAACAGCCTTTAAAAATATTTTCTTCTTTAAATTCTGTCATTATTTAAACGGATCTTTAAAATACATTAGAGGACTATCTTAAAGAAATCTGTTTAAATAATGACAGAAGTAAATTAACGAATACGAAATAGTACATTATATACCTAGGGTGAGAAGTGAGCTATTATTTACCGAGCACTTTTATATCCTGAGGCGCGTAGCGCCGGGGGATATAATGTGCGAGGTAAATAATAGCTTTCTCAGCCGAGGTATATATAGAATTTTTTTTACTACTAACATTAATGTATTAGCAATTTTAATTTTGACATAAGTAATTTCCTAACAATTTGTTAAATATTTCGAAATATCAAGCAGACTGGAGCGTGTTTCTAATCAGACTGGCTTTATTTATGTAAAAATTTGGCATGTGTCAAATTTTGGTATGATTCTAGGAAATATCCCATTGCATTTTTGATATTTTAATGACATGGATTTATTGTTATTAATTAATAATTTATAAAGCCGGTGTTGAATTTCCTAGTTAATATATATTTTTACTATTAACACTGATATATATTATCATATTTGATTTGATTAGATTTTAATAAACCCAGCTTTAGTTATTTCCTACTTATTTTTCAAATATTTCAAAATATCAAGTAGTCTGGGAGTTTAGTTGTCAAATTAACAAAATGAAACTAATGAAATTTAGTTTCATTATTTACCTAGGTTTTTTTTTATTATCATTATTTACCTAGGGAGAGAAATATTACTTCTCATTAGAGGAATGGAGTAAATAATGGTGATTTCTTATGTTAGTAGTAAAAAAATATTTTTAAAGGCCGCCAATATTTTAACGGTCGTTAAAATATAAAGGAATTGTTACAGAATAGACCTCATTAATCGAAATTACCGTACAAGTACGGTAACTAACATACGATTGGCAACCCTGCTCAGGACTCTCAGTAACCAGGAGAGAATTCTCAGAAATGTTTTAGGGGTATTAAATGCTGGAGTTTTCAAATAGAGGACAGGCTCGTACTCAAAATTAATATACATATAATAGTTTAATGTTCAAAGTTAAAATTTTCTTTATTAAAATACTGAATTTAAAACTAAGTCATAAAGTAATAGGTACTTAAGTTGTGGAACAGGAGTTGATATTATTTTTTCGTAATTTTAAAGAATACAAAAAAGTTTTTATAAGTATATAGGTAAATATTTGGTATTATAAAAGTAATTAAAAAAATAATTGATATACACACCTTCTGGATCATTAATATTTGAATTCGCCTTTTAATACTGGGACTTATAAGTTAAGTTCCATTAGTGCGTAATTGTTAAATATTTCAATTTGCGTTATAAACACGCAAACAAGTTTTTAGTTATGCTTCACATCCTTGTTAGTGGAAATAAAGATAACCATGTAGTATACCTATGTTACGCCGCTGACCCACATGTTCAGATTAAAAATTTTACATTACTCTCTATCACTGCCTGTCTAGACTATAGATTACTTATTACCAATTGTGTCGCGGAATTCACATCGTTTAAACCGGAGCACATTCCAGCGATTATAAAAACATGGATATAAACTATCGAAAACGAAAATCGTCTCAGAAATACGATAAATTAAAAATGAAATGAAGGAATTCAGACCACAAGTAGGAAAATAATGTTTTTCTTTTTATTTAACTGATTTTTAGCTTGCCGAAGATACTACTTTATGTGTAAATTTCTGCATTTAGACGACAAATAAATATACAGAAGATACTACTTTATGTGTTAACGGTGCAGTCATTCATAAAATCCGTCTAAAAAACGAAAAATGCTACTTAATGTGCAAATTTCGGAAAACTTTGATGATGGCAGATACTACTTTATGTGTAAATTCTGTATTATAGACAAAGACATGTACAGAGGAAGCTACTTTTTAAAAGGTACCAAAGCAGCCATTTGTGAAAACTGAGTATATTGAGTTGAAAGTTTTTGAAGCATGTAAAACCCACTTGTATGTATCTTGTGTAGGCGTTTTAATACAAAGAACATGTTAACTCAAAAACTTCTTAAGTTTTTTTTGCAATTTTCATGCTATAACCTTGTATTACAAGCAAAATTTGCTAATTCAACATTTAATACATGGATATCTCTTTAGACATTCTTTGGATGCTTTTTGACAAATACCTAATGTCGTCTGGATCCATTGGTAAGCGAAAGCGGCCAGAGTTTATCGGTGCGTCATCAATTAGGTCCATTTGGTTTATATGGATCACAATGGATACAATTCATGATGCACGGGTAAACTCTAGCCGTGTTTGCTTTATGTTTTTAAGTCAACGTCTTATTTATAACTTGGGAATAAAATAAAACTGCACAGGAAAAGTAAACATTATTTACTTTAGAAACGACTGTGTGACAAACTAAATACTTTTATTTCAGCTTTAACTAAAACTGATAGTAGTTTAATACAAAATAAAAGTTAAACTCCTAAATAATTTACCAATGAACAGTAACTTTTTTCTCCATCATTTCTCTTTATCGTCATCTATTTCTGGTAAAAAAATCTATATTTTCACCGAAACCATCTACGTCATCTTCGAAATCAGCTGCATTTAAGTTTCTGTAAAAGTCTTTTATATCGTTGGGAATTAAAGCCATCAAACTTTTAATATCTACCAATTTTTTTTGTAGAAATTACTTTACCATCTGGGTATAGTTCAAACAGCTGTGAGAAAAAATTGCTTTGAGTATTTGGACGACCTTTAGATATTTTCTTAATATTTATTTCTCTAAACTCTTCATTAACATGATGAGTGTATTTTATGAATATGGAAAAAGGACTTCTTTGCTGTGTTTTATAACTCGAGTTTCGAACCAGCTAATTTTATTGCCGTTGATATCGGTTTTCCTATTAGTTATTAATTTTTCAAGTTTTGAAGTCCCGAGAAAATCCTCCTTAACAACAATTTTTTTTCTTTTGTGAACACTGCTGTATAAACCTTTTAAACTCATCCAAAGTGTAAAGACGTATTTGGTACTTGAGAGACCTCTCGATTTCTCCAAAATTGGTGTCGTTAGGTAAAAAACTATGACCAGATATCAAATACTTGAGGTAGATCCTTTTAAGTGAAGGATGGGCTTCAAAGATGGCTTACAGTAACACTACAATTTTGATATTTCGGTTTTGTCCACCACAGGAGTCAGACCATAATATCAATATGTCTAAAAAGTTTTTAAGATAAGATCCTACCTCTTGAGCTCCCCGACCCGCAACTCTCTCTTTCCATACAAAACAGTAGGGTGTATCGTTAGACTCTGTATGTATTCCTTCGTTATAAATTGATAGTTGTCTTTTGTAAAAAACGATGTTTGTGGGAAGTTTTGGTAACCCTAACACTTTTTTCATACCATAGGTTGCGGTATCCAGTTTTACGTTAATTTTTGCCTCTTCCATGTCAGCCTTCATTGATTCTCTTGCTTCCTTTGCTTTTTGCAAATGCTGTGTGTGTTTTAATTCCTGCTCCTCTTTAAGTTTAGCATCGTATTGATAATTTTTAATTTTAGCATTAAATCCATCACATGCATTGCATGTGTCTTTAACTGGGACTTTGTGCCTTAGATTAAAGTTTTCATAGAATAGGTATTGTTTTGTACGAAGAGAATCCCAGTTTATGATTTAGTTCGTCTTCTGTGTATAAATGATACATTTTTCTCAATGTATGATCAGGTACCGAATATTTTGCGTCACTCTCATTTCTTGTATAATGAGAAATATATGTCGGAAACTTGGATATCTGATGTATTACTTTATTTTTTGTTTCTTCACTTAATTTAATATGTCCCCCTTGTATAAAACCTCTTTCATCTTTAACTGAACCTGTTTTTATTTTCTTTAAAGCCGTGTTAACCCTTTTTGGTGAAATATGTAGAGTTTTAATGTACATGTCTCTGCAGACTTTAATGTTACTGATTTCATAAACTCTTGTATATTGCCTTCTAGTGCTTTGTTTGTTTCGTTTCCTTTTTATGCCTTGCTGTCTAACTGTGGCTGCTATGTAGGCTGTTTGGGCATTGTAACTGGCTAAACCCCAAAAGTTTTCAAACACCTTTTTTCTGTTTTCTTGCGATATACTTTCGTTACATTTTAGTGTACAATTGCACAAAAAGTCTATAAAAATCTTAGGTTTGATTAGTTTTCCTTTAATACTGTAGTGTTTCTTATTTGAATCTTTTAGTTTTTTCCTGTTTCTAAAGGTCTGTCCAAGATATTTCGCATTTCTTCCTTTTTTAGGCCTGCCCTTCCTTTCTGTTCTTTTTGTTTGCTTTAAATTTTCATCTTCAATTTGCTCCAAAGTGCTGTCTGAACTAGAACCTGTACTTTTAGCAATAGCAGTGTCGGGATCGTATTCACTTCCAGAATCTTCAAAGTCAGTAAAATTTTCAAGGTCCCTTTCATTGTCCTAAAATAATGTATTCATGTAAGACAAGTCAAAAAAACCATATCGACCTAGCAATTTCCGAAGCTCTTTAACAAAGTTCAAAACATCAAATTCAACTTCAACAAATGCGTACATGGCCGGATTTTTTTTTTCTATGCAAAAATATCATCTACGAGTACTACTAACTACTACAACAAGTAATTACTTACAGATTCTTTTGACGAAGAGGCACCCATCAAATTGTTTTCATTGCTGCTATTATTATCTACTGCCATTTCGACTTGCTCTAACGTTTCTGCATCTTTAGAAAAAGGCTCTGGATTTTGGATATCAACAGATATTCCATTAAAATCGTAGTACTAAAAGTTATGAAGTTAAAATCCCTTCCTAACCTCATCTTTTTATAAAATTACTTACACTGTCAATATTTTTCTCATTATTTTCTTCAGCGGAAATTTTTGAGTTTGCTAAAGCTATCTCACTATGGTTGCACTTCTATTACTCATATTTTGATTAAAAAAAATAACCAAGCAATAAGTAAACAGTTTCTTTACCCATAAACAAACACCTAAAAGTCATACACATGACCTTCATACACATGACTGTGACTGATGTCAAAAGAGAACCAAGAACCAAGCGCCACACGTAATTAGCTTAAACAGTCTCCAGGGGGTTAATTTTTGAATCATTCGCCACCCTGGGGCTCGATTCTCGAGATCATTGGAAAATTTTCCCATGGGAAAATATTCCACTACTTACATTCCCATGGTAATAGGTTATACAATTCTCGAACGTGTCGGAATAGACATTCCCATGGAAATAGTAGTTTCACGTATGTCTGATATTAAGTCCACAAATATTTCAAAACAACCAATAACATTAAAGATATTTTAAAATTTACTGTTGGCATTATTTGTATTTGTTTTAGTTTTTGGGTATCCGATTGCCTGCCGAGCCTCCGCGCTGGAGCAGGTGCCGTGCCGAGCAATCGCTATCATGATCGAGGAACAAGTGAAAATATTCGATTACGTATAATAATTAAAAATTGTCGAGTTATTCTTAGTTTTTCTCATGTTGAAAAAAGAAAAGGTAGCTTTTGTATGGAAGAGCAACGAAAGTTTTGAGAAACTAAGAAATTCTTTCATTAACGAAAATAATAAAATTTTCGAAATGGTTTTATTAAATTTACTACACTTAATTTGTGTTATTTGCCAGTCCCTTAGCAGCTCCCATAATTTCTAAATGATTTAGGAAAATCAGTTTATACAGTTTCTTAGTGAAAGAGAATTAAAAATAATATACCTACATAAATAAAATAATATCAATCTATAAATACGCCAAAAAAATGTTTTAACTACAATTTCACTAAAAATCCAAGATATCCAATAATCTTTGGTTATGTGTTAGACTTTCGCGTGGTCTTTGGTCAAATTTTCGACTTTAATGCGCAAACTCTAGTACAATTCCCATTGGAAAGCACAATTTCCAATGCTCGTAAGCAGGGGAATATTTTCCCATACTTCTCATTGGAAAATATTCCACCGCTTATGTCGAGAATACGAAAACTGAATTCCCATGGGAAATTTTTATTTTACGTATACTTTTACTTAAACTGTATTTTTGACTTACTCGATTCGTTTTCGCATGCGAAATTGACGTCACTTGCGAATAGGCATTTAATATGTTTTGCAATGACATGACGTTTATTCATCTCGGTAAAGCAGTTTCATACTAGGTTTCTATTGGTAGATCATCTAATTTTGCTGAAATAATCTACAACTCTTCGTTAGGTTGATATGTTCGCAAAATATTTATCGAAAAGCATTCAAAAATATACCTTCCTTGTCGCATGCGGTAAATGTCATGCGTCAATGGACGCATACTACCAGCAGGGTTATTCTACTAAATTTATAGCCCGGCTACAAGTTGGATTTTGGCTTGAACTTTATATGTTCCTAACTTCAAAATCCAACTTGTAGCCGGGCTATAAACTTTTAGCCGGGCTATAAATTTAGTAGAATAACCCTGCAGGGGCTGGTAACTCAAATGGAAAAACATGAGGTTGGTAATTTAGTACCACTCCAATTAACGGGATGGCGCTCGTATCGAAATGTCATGTCAGTTGTCAGCTCGTCAAAACTTCATTAGAGAAATTAAAATGGCTATTTGTATTTGAAGGTGTATTGAATTTTGATTCATCTAGAATCTAGATTTATTTTTCAACACCTTCCAATTTTAAGCAAGTTTTCAAAAGATGGGAAGATGGATTTCAGCAACAAACAATAAAGCACTCCCAGATATTGGTAGTAATGCAATTTATACCACATTAAATATGCAGTCGTCCCCCAAATTGTAATAGGTGTCTTAAGAAAAATGCACCATCACTGTACCAACGGTAAGTAATATTTACAAACTTGTATTTGATTCAGTGTTAAAATAATTGGTTTGTTATTTAAATTTCTTTTTGTTTTCAGTTTTTAAATGATCATTTTTGTAAAGAAAATGTTGGCCCTCCAAAATACTCTGTCGATCGATGAAATATTTGAGCCTCAGCCATCAATATCAAAAATTGATTCAATGCCATTGACATCAAACAAGAAAACACCATAAAATCTTCAAAATTCCAAACGTGTGTAAGTTTAATTTATGCTCAAAAGTTAAATTCATTTATCACAGTGCCCACATGATGAATAAAAATTTGATAACTACAAGTGCTGTATAAATGAATCAAGAAAACAATTATCGGATGAAGAAATGCTCCTCAACCTAACTAGTCGACTCAATAACCGTATAACAAATTTTATCCACACTCAAATTTGCCTCGATAGTAAAAAAGGATGATGCTCCAACTTCAATTTTTTCAAACTTATTTGTCACTCCAAGTCGCAAAACTTTTCTTGAGCACTTATATATGCTGATTTTGTTACAGAAAACATTTTTGATAGGTTTGTTTTATAAATATTTAATTATTTAAATGGTGTAAATGCATATTTGTTTGAGTATTTCCATGTTTAAATAGACAAATTATATGATGCGGCGTTAATTTACTGTAATAAAAAAAAAATAAATTGCATTTTATTTCAAGTTTGAAATTAATGCAAAAATATAATGAAGTAAAATCAAATAAAGATATAAATTGGCAAAATATTTGACTAGTTTCAAATCACAAAACAGTCAATATGGTTGTTTTATGATTTAAAACTAGTCAAATATTTTTCCAATTTTTTTGCTTTATTTGATTTTCTCCATTACATTTTTGCGCTGCTACAAAGTTAAATTTCAAAAAGCCCGCTAGTGGCGGCCATATTGAATTTTAGTACCACTCCAATTTGATAGATGGCAGCACATTTACCATTGAGTTTCCCATCTATTCACATTAGTAATCTATGCATACTACCATACTACTTTTAGCGAATGGTTTTAAAAATTAACCCCGGACCTTTGATCCATTTAGAGAATTAATATGAAATCTGTAATTGTAGACAAGCAACTTAGTAACCTCAGCAACAGAGGTCGCATCAGGTCACTTTGGCGTTTGAATCTTTTTAGACATTTAATGTAGAGGATGTATAGGTGTAGGTGGTTGGTGCCTTTACACGAAAATGATAATTTGGTGGTTGGTACCTTTTAGATAAGCATTATGTGTTAACTCTGATCTTATACTAGTACAGGTTTGAGAATGGTTTTCTTCATAATTTAATTGATTTTTAGCTTGCAGAAGATACTGCTTTACTGTAAATTTCCGAATTTAGATGACATATAAATATGCAGAAAATACATCATTTATATAAGCCTTATGCAAAGCGAAAAATGCGACTTTATGTGCAAATTTCGCAAAACTTTTGTGGCGGAAGATACTACTTTATGTGTACATTCTGAAAATAACAAATAACTGTACAGAGGAGGCTACTTTATATGTTAACTCTGATCTAATACTTAAATTATGCAAGCCCAGCTAACTGCAATGCAAAAAATGCTACTAAATGTGTAAATTTTGTAACACTTTGGTCGATAAGATACTATTGTATGTGTAAATTATTAAAGCCAGATAAATGTACAGAGAAGGCTACCCAGCTAGCACAAAAATATCCCATCTACGTTAATAAGCTGCAATTTTAGGCTTTTTAAGCTCGCATGCAATGTACTGTAAATGTAACCCTATTATCCCTGCAACTACCGAATGTCCGCAACGGCAAGACTTTTATAGCACATCTCGTAGAAGTTATAAAGTGAAGTTCGGAAAACATCACACTAGCACTTTTACGGTACTTACCCCGAAAGTTGCTCTGAAACTTTCTATAGATGTTATAATGTGAATTTCTTCTACAGCATTATACAGTGTGTCCACGGATGTAATTCTTCATAATTTCTTTTACTTGTTAAATAAATTCGATTCACATCAAGAAATTATGAAAAATAACTTTTTAATTTAAAATAAATATTTTTACAAGTATAATTAAGTCCATCCGTGGACACACATTGTGTAATGTAATACAGAGAGGCTGAAATTGAGGCTATAGTAAAATCTCAATCGATACATGAATATTTTAAATAAAACAAAATATTTATATAAATTTATTATTAAAATGTTCTTGAAATCAAGTACCAATATCACAAAAGTAGAGGTAGGTATAGACGTGTTCTTTTATTCAGTGCTGTATCCAGCGCTTGCAGCAAACCGTTCGTAAATTAAGTGATGGAAAGATGATTGTATGTGTCAATCATTCAAACAAAGACAATGGTTTAGAAAATAGTTTTCTATTTTATAGAGGACCCTTACCAAATCTACTCGAATGTATAAATAATATATATAAAATAAATTCTGGAAGTCAAAAAATAAAAATGTCATTCACCGGGAATAAACCTTCAAAAAAGACAAGACAAATGACAAGAAAAACTGACAAGTGACAATTGACATAAACGTTCAGAAATCAAAATTGTAATGTTACTTTATTACTTTGTGTTAACATAACAGGTAGGTTAACTAGGTAAATAACAAATAGAAGTTTTGCGAGGTTTTGATTTCCTTCAAGAACTTCTCATGAACGTTGCATTTACGTTGTATAGTAATGTTATTACGTTCCCTTAATGCAACATCGCCGAAAGGCTTGGCAACGTTATGTGCTAGCTGGGTACCTTATGTGTTAACTCTGATCTTATACTTTTGCAAACTCGGCTAACTGCAACTCGAAAAATACTACCTAATGTGTAAATTTTGTAAAATTTTGGTCGAGAAGATACTATTTTATATGTAAATTCTGCATTTAAGCCAAATAAATGTACAGATAAGGCTACTTTATATGTTAACTCTGATCTTATACTCATAAACTGCAAACTCTGCTAACTGCAACTCGAAAAATGCTACTTAATGTGTAAATTTTGTAAAACTTTGGTTGAGAAGATACTATTTTATGTGTAACTTATTTAAGCCAAATAAATGTACAGAGAAGGCTACTTTATGTGTTAACTCTGATCTCATAC